CGCGTACATATTTCGAAATCTCACTCTCCTCCAGCGAATTCTTCGGATCCCATCAGGCAACAAGATTCGCTGCCGAACCTGGCAGGCACCCCCGTCGAGTTGTCTGCGTACGCGAGTTCCGGAATGCGGATAAAACTTCGCCCACGGGATTTCGAGATTGTAGTATGCTCCTCGGATACGATCGAGACGAATCGAGAAGCGAGGCAGATCTCACGGACGAGTCAGCGATAGGGAGATTCCGAAGTTCCCTAGACCAATAATTCCAGCGCCAGAGACTCTCCCGAGTTCTAGGAGAGATATCTTTGTCGCTGAGCGGGATAGCCTTATGAACTCCATAAGTTCCTCGTATAATTCTGATCGGGTGCCGTTCGTGCTCGAAAAAGCCGGTGGAAGGTCAGCTTCGATGGAGTCTGGAGTCTTCTTCCAGGGTCACATTCCTCATTCATTCATTCAAGCAAGCGAGCAAATATAATAAAATAATGACGATATAGATCGAATCACGAAAAAAATTGCGCGCACGCCGGTGCCGTGCAGAAATGCGGAGTCGACAGAAATTTGGATGGGCTTTCTCGAGATTGAGAGTCCGTCACTGATGCCGGCCTGGTGGTCCCGTGCTTAAGACTCAGGGAGGCTCCCTTCGAATCAACCAAGGTCTTATCTTATCTTGATCATCCCGGTGAGAAGGTATATATATATTTCTCGTTCGATCGGTGAGCTGGCGGGAGCTCAAGAATTAGGAACTTCTAATCAGCGATCATTCCTAAGCTGATGAACTTGCAGTCGAATATTCGTTCCGCAGGAATCTCCGAAGATAAATGCTTCGGAACATTGTCTGATGTTATCCGAATTTCGTCGTGCGCACGAGAACTTCGTGCGATTCGAGCCCGTCGGACGGGACTGGAATTGGATTAGGCCACTTTCGATCGTTGTCAGCCTACAGCATGCTCCTGGAGACATTGGCCATCGGAATCGGGCTTGGGTTGAACTCATTCGAAGTATGTACCATCCATGAGATGCTAGCATGGAACGTCATGAAGCGCTCGGAATCCAAGTCAGCACCCGAGATTATTGAGCATCAGAAATCGCTAGAGAACCGCCAAAGTCTCTAGTGATAAGCAGTCGTTAGTTGAATCAGCGAATCTCTCGCAGATGCATGGATCCCGCCATTATCATGTAAGAGGGTCCGATCGAGTGCAAATCATCGAGAGGGTTCCGATGTTCCTACCAACCCCCGCGAAAAACTGTAGAATCCTTGCTCAGGACGCATTACCCGAAAACGACAGCTCAATGCATTCTGTTCACGAGTATATAGAGCTTTATTCTCTTTCTTCTCGAAGAAAGGCAATGGAAGCCGATTATTATTCAAATCCGTGAATCGCTACTTTGCCTATTTCTGTCGCAAACTCCCACGGTGTTTCTTCCAGTCGACCCAACCCTTCTCGGCAGAAATCGCAGCCATAGATCTCAGGCTGCGATTCCCTATCCTGATGCAGTCGGTCGAGGCAAACATTAGATTTTGATCAGGGTATCGCGAGGAGATCGAGACGATTGATATCCTCCTGCGGAATGATAGGCTTCGATTTCCTCGCGCCGGTGGTGTCATATCTGTGTCGTAGAGGTTGACCATATCATGAATGCGCGAAATCCTGCAACGAATAGGTCTCTGATACGGTTCTGCTCATATATATGTATATTCTCGACTCCCCCACATCCCTCAACGACGCTTTGCACACTCGTAGGCCGAGCATAGATCCGAGTGAATTATGAGAAGGAGCTCGGTGGATTCCGTGAACTCCTCGCTCGAAACAACAGCGGAATTTCCGCACATATTTTGGACAAAATGTGAAAGCGACGACCTCGGAGCAGCGCCCCGCTTACGCGTGATGTACCGGTCCTTCATTGGAGGGCTACACAAAACATAAATCTAGGTGACCATTGCCAAGCTATTATGCGCTGGCTTCAGGTTGGACGCAGCCCCGCATCTGCTTGGGTGTTGAAGACGATTGGACGTTCCTGTGAGACGATCAGAACGCATCCAGCATCGCCCTCCATTGAGATCGAAACCTGCCGAGAAGGCTGAAGACGTCTGCCGCGACTCGCCATGGCAACTCAGAGACTCGATCTCCCATTCCGGAATATAGTACATACTCTGATTCGGGAAGGAAAATGCTCCCGCCTCGTCGATCCCAAGGCAATCCGGGAAAATTGCCTCTGGCCCCGGCTGTCAAACTCGGCCCTCGTAGAGATTTCGCGCACAAACACCCTTTCGCCTCAGCAGCTGATGAAGCTTACGCAACACATCTTCGAGACGTGCTCGACAAGATGGCGGCAGCAGTGAGTGTCGTCCTCGAGCGTGAGCTTGCTTTCGGATGGATGGAGCAACGTTGTCGCCAATTAGCGAGTGGCCTGTGAGGGCCGGAGCTTGTGGTGAGCGACAAACTCCCGCGAAGTGCTTGCATGACGCGGCTGACGTCCCGGTGACGCCGCGAATCTCTGGAAGGAGAGCCGCCTCTACATGCCGCGCGCATACAAGGACAAGTCGTGCTGATGTTTTCGAACCGCTGAGCGGCTAGCCAAGAACCTCGGTGTTTGATTGACGGCGTTATTGTGGGCATCTCCGGAGATTTGCCGTAATCGCCGACTCATGGCCAATGCTACCTCTACAATCAAATAGTATGAGCAGGAAAGAGTCGCTCCTGCCCACACTTGGTCGATGCATCTCTGGAGGAGTGTCGTGCGCCTTCACCACCGAACGCAAGACCTCACCGATTCGCCGAGACACAACGACCGTTCCCTCTGGCTTTCCCGTGCTGATGAAGTTGACGGCCGTTCCGAGGGTAGGTTCCTACACTGCCAGTGCCTGACCAATCGATCGTTGGGAAAACTCATTTTATGCCGTTCGAGAGACCGTAACTGGGGATGGAATGCATCCTGCATTTTTTCTCAGCGGCGGGAAACACTCCATTATTCCGTGGAAGTACATAGTTCGCTCATCTTCCCTTGGAGGGGGGGGGCGATCCTTCCTCAAATGTCGTATTTCGCTTGTGACGTCCTCCAGTGGATTTTCGTTCGGGAAGGACCATATTCATTCAAGCAATGCTTTTCCTGGAAATTCTCCATCAGGAAACTGTCGTTCGTCCGACCTTCGCGAAACTCAGCGACGGTGTTCGAATCAGGGTGAATGATAGATCTTTCGATTGCTATGAGCGAAAATGCGAGCTTCAGATACCACAGGGCTTTCCTGAACTGTCCCTGAAAATGAAATCGGGAGTAGAGAGTTGAAAACAACTCAAGTTCTCAAGGGTTGACACCAGCTCAGGTTACCTATGCAATCTTTGAGCGGGATGTTTGGCTGTAATCGGCTACTTGGCGAGATGAGCTTCCCTCCACGTCTCCAAAAAGACGGCGCGTTTCTGCCTGCGGGATAACAATACCCGACGCTCGTGTTTTCTGCTCTCTCCGGTGCACAGTTTGTCGAGTGTCCACCCTTTGAAGCATTTCGGGAAGCTCTGATGCGGAGGGCCCCGTCAACGGCTGCATGAATGAGACAATGAATTAAACATCACGAGTGCGGACGTCGTCGCTCGATCGGGAGACCGGCGGAATCACGCACAGCAATAAATGCAGTGGCGTGACTCGCGACACATGCGGACACAATCCTTCCCATGCGAGCCGGACGACAGCATTTCCATCCCTGCCATTCCCTTTCTAGTACCCTTTTTCCATAGGCGATATTGGGAGCCAAGCCGGACAGCTACATTAGCCGCGGTTGCAGCGGCGACACCGACTGTGACCGGCGGACCTCCAAGGTACTTCCCACCGCACGCTCCATCCATAAGTTCGTGCCGACCGACGACCATAAACTTTTCGGTTTTTTCCTTCCCCATGCCCTCACGATCATGTATACTGTCATTTCGCCTCCGTAATGTCCCTTCCGAGTTTCAGTCCGGCTCTATATTCTAGATTCTAGGACATTTCCGTATCATTTAAGATTTGATAGAGGGAGCGCTGCGGGCTGGATCACTTCTTGAGATTCACGAAAAGAAGCCGCTGGGGCGTCCAGTATGTGTTGGGGTCACGAATCGCGTGCGAAGGAGTTTGTGACGGGGGCTGCCCGAGCAGAGGTCCGCAACGGGTCGCATCGCCGTTTTTCTACACTGCATTTACGCCCATCCACCCAACTGTGACCGCTGTCATCGGAGGGAGCATGTCCGCGAATGGAGATAGATATTGTTTCGTTCCGATAGTCCCGGACACCAGCCGGTCCTGGCTCCCTGCGAGTCTGTTACATTCACTTTCCCTCGCGGAATTTCGAAATGTCTGGTCTATCGAGTGTTCCGAGTTGTGAAATGGAGTGCGAAACCATCGGGGCACGGATAGGACACCTCATGAATTTCAAATAGGATCCGTGAAGGGTTGATTCGTAAGCAGCGTACCGGTTTCCCGTTGCAAGACATTGATTCACTTTTCACACGGCTCTCGCAGAATCTCAAATTTATACATGCACCAGAATCACGGATGAGAACCAAACGCCGTGTCGGTTTTTCTCCACTCGGATGCTTTGACGCATTCTCTTCATCTGGTGTGCACCGGCTGTACGACGTAGCGCTGCTATACGAGTACTGCGGCCTTATGACTTCGCAGCTGAGACGTCTGATTGCATTGAACAGGCGGGGATTACGGAGAGGACTTTCCTAACGCATAGCTTCTCCCCGCAGAACGCTTCGCCCTGGCCTCCTCGGAATATCTAAGGTCCACCCGTGACCTAAAGGTGGCCGTTTGACCCGCCGGGAAGACTGCGAAAGGTAAGAATCGATCGGAGGGCTGTCTTCGGATTCATGATTTTTGTTCAGCCGCTGCCGGTTCTCGGCGGACTCATCGAGACGCTCGATCGAGCCGCTCAGCCGCGGCGACAATCCGGATTCATGTTCTTGCTCCTCATCGTTCACCACTTCACAGCGGGAAACCCTTCAGCGGCAGCAACGCAGGTGTTGACGGCAGACGGAAATGATTTGCAGTTACGCCAGCTGCTTCTTCTTCAGACTGCTGCTGGTCGCAGGTGGGCTCTTTTGTCGGCGCGATGAGTAATCGTGGAGAATTCTAATCTAGTGCGCTTTTTAACACAGGAATAATTCGCTCTCTTCCAGCGGCCGTATTGAGCAGCTCGGTTTGCTATCGGGCCGTTTTCGCAGAAGAGGAGTGCATCAGTGAGTTCCCACACGGACACTATAATTTTTGCAGAAAGCTTCGGGCTTTCGAACGCTGCGTCGAGCGTCCGCCTTCGTCCGTGGGGTCTCCCCATAGATTGTAGGCTTCTGAAGAAAGACGTCGAGCATGACAGCTCTGAAATTCATGTTTTCAGATAAAGGAGTTCTTTGTTATAACTGTGATTCAACACTGGATCCGAATTGTGCCGATCCGTGGAACTTTACTGGATATTATGACATCGGTGTTCCTATACAAAAATGCGTTGGGTGAGTGGGATATCGGTGAGGGGACATTCCCGCCCAGCGGAGCATCGCGACCTCCTTCCCTCCCAAATCTTTCTGAAGAAGGTCATTGCCTCAGGTCTGGGAAACGAGCACGAAATCGTAGAGATTCGATCCCCTCAACGATTCCTCCAAAAACGGCCGAGGCTCCCGAATTCCTTCGTAGTCCTGGACTCGTATAGATCGGAGATTCTCAGCGAATGCTCGTCGAAGCATCCGAAAGCGTTGTGGATTGTGCTCAGACTCCGAAAATTCAATCTTTCAGATGCTGTGTGAAAGTCGTTACGCATAACACGTCCGGAGGTGTCAAAAGGGGCACGAATGTCTGGCGGACGTGCACATCCAGTCTCCAGATCAACCTGTTCCTAGTCGATCATGTGTGTATGCAGGAAAGTGATGGTAATGGCCACATGTGCTTCTGTGAAAGTGATCTCTGTAATGCAGGAAGTTCTCCGGATTTTTGGTTTGGTGCACTTTGGGATCACTGGATGAGCTCTCTTCTGAAAAACAATTATCACTTCTTCGAACCGGGGTACAGGGACTTGCTGCTGAGGTGAGTTGGTGGTGCACTGGCGAACTTGATGCGGCCGGGGTGCGAGAGGTCGAGTACCGGCGAAGAGTTTGACTTTATTTCCGAATCGGCTGTTTCAGGACAAAACTCCCACACCGGAAACCAGCTCCATTCGACGACGTCATCCAGGTGCTGGGGGTTTCGGCAATTGCTCTCATCGTCCACTCCTCCATCAGCACACATTTATTGCACCTCAGCGACTGCAGCACTATGATATAGTAATGTACAGAAAAACGAGACTGCCTGACAAAATGAAGGAAAGAAAGAGTGAGAGACTTGCAACGACTGAGTGGGTATTCTTGCCTGGATACAAATGATTCGAGGAACGAACATACTGGAATAATAACGACAGGGGGATATGACAAAACGCTGTAAGCTGACGCGCCGAACTCCGGTTACCATTACGGGGCGGGATGGGGGCAATCATCGCACGACGGCAAGTGAGTTGGATCGAGCGAGCTCTGTAAGACTCGGCTGCACAATGGCTCATCGAGGACGCAGATAAAATGAGAGAGTTTTGGGATCGAGAGGATTTTTAAGAGACGATCAAAACCACCCCATCAGCTCTTGTCTCTTGAGAAGTGGTTCCCCAAGACGTTCAAGCCGTGGACCCCCGTCAGCCCCTCTATCCTGGGCAGGCCCGAAAATCGCAAAAAGACACTTTGGGAATCATGGCTCTGGAGGAAGCCGTCAGCGGAGTAAATGCCCAGCGGAGCCCGATGAGGTTCAAGTCTCTTCCAAAGATGGGGCGTTCGGGGAATGAGAGGATCCGCATCGACGGTATTTCAGGGTTCAGAAACGGATACGAGTTGGAAGTAGCGGGTTCCGAGGGGGGACGGTAGTGACCAAGACTTTGCGCAGTATTGGGACGCTGCGAATAACGACGCGTGGGTTTTTCCATCCTTGAATCATGTCGAGCAACAGGAGAAGATCGCTCGAGATTAGGAGTATTTCGGGCTAGGGCAAAAGACGTGGGTGGCGGAGCAGACGACGAAATTCACTTCACCCGCGACGGAATGCGGAAAATCGTGTAGCTCTCGAGCCTGATGGTTGTGCTCAATAATATCTTCCGGCGCTTCCCGTTCTCAGTTTCGTTTAGGATGTTCTGCCTCACACCAGAGTCAATAACTTGACCTTCTCCGAGAATTGAACTGTACATAAAGAAGGTGATCGGAAACCTTCCCTCGTACGAGACGGATTCCATCGTAAGCAACGTAGCAAAGATTCGAAGCAAAAACAAAAAAAGTTTGCAAAAAGATCCCAAATTCAATTTCCTTGGATCGGGCAGAAACTGGATCCCATTACCACGGCTCCGACGTCATCTGTGGGACAGCTGGATTGGAATTTTGTGATCGATGGGTCATGATGACTTTTGAAATTTTCTCGAATCAGAATGACACCGATTCAATGTCCCTGCGGTATTCGCCCCCCCCCCTCTCCTTGCCACAGAAGAATTAAGAACCATCTCAAACTCTCACTGCATCCTCTGTAGCAGCAAAGGCGGGCCTCGATCTAGCATCAGCTTATCACTCTCGTTTCACTCCAATATAGACTTCGATTCATCGCAAGTATTGCTCAACATAGCCAAGTCGGAATCCTCCGAGGAAGACATTGGTTCAGCATTCGTAATGTTCTGCTCTGTTCTGCAAGAGAAGTCTCGGAGCATCAATCAATAAGAGTATGCGTGAACACGAGTGAGCACGACGTGCACCGGCTACATAGTGACTCGTTCTGACGGGTCCTAAGTGAAAGAGTTGCCGAGGTGGAAAATGTTCAGGAGTAGAAATCGGTACAGTCAGAACAGAGAGAGAGTCCAGATGAGAAGTGGACGAGATCTCATGAGATCTCGATATGGGAATGATGCGAGGAGAAGTTTATAATCCTGGGCGCTCGTGTCGGAGAAGGACGCCGTGAATTCTGTTGGTACAAAACCCGCCCATTCAATAGGACTACACTTCATGAAGCGCTCTCGGTCGGACGTTAAATACAGTATTACCGTGCAGAAGATGGGAGAAGAGCCCTTGCTGCAGGAAAACACTGGAATCAAGAGTAACGACAGATTCAGAATATATCGAGCATGCACAAGCAGCAGCTTCGTGGAGCTTTCGGGAGGGGCTGTTTGATCTGATCCATTAATCGTGGAAGCTCGCTTGATCGATTGCTAGAGGCTCATTCACAAACTAAGTGGCTGACAGAAGCATAATTAACAAGCGCGAACGATATATCTACGATCTGGAGTGCGCGAGCCGCAAGTCGATCCCTGAATCCGAACAGAATCTCGTGGAGTATCGCCGGCTTCGCTCTCCACTATTCGCATATTCCATATAAAAGAGAATTGATGGACTGAAGATCTCTCGGATCACTCCAATGCGAATCTACGCAGCTCTTCTTGAAGCCGTCTCTGGAAATACGTCGATTGTGATCGGTTCGACGAAGTCCCGGACATATGTTCTGCACTTATATCGTCAGAGCAGGCTTGACGGTCGAAAATAATTCCTGAGCGAGGAAATCGACAGTATGGTGCCCCAACCTCTGTCAGCCTCAGCCGCATACACAGCTTTTCGACGCTCGCGATCAATCAGAGTCCGACAGGGGTGAGGAACCTACGAATGAATTCGAACAATTCACGAACTCGAAATCAGCTCAGGTGAATAAACCTTACTCGATCGGTTTCACACCTCCGTGCTCATTGATTCAGACAGACAGTCGATCGATCAATCAGTCAGTCGCTCAATCGATGCAGAAGCCGATGTGAGTTGATCGTCAAAGAAACAAATCAAAGCTTGCCATCATCTACGTACGTATGAGTGCAATAATTAGGCAAACGAGCCATTTTGTTATTGTAATATCGAGATATAATGAGGAGTCGATGTCTTATAGATAGATGGAATGAATAATATTGTAATCATTGTTGCTAAACTTTTGAATCACATGTTTTCCTTCTCATGAGCCTTTCGGACGGTCTCGATTATCGCCGCTGAGAGCGGCAATGATTATTCCCTCCAACAGGATTCCCTCTGCCGATGAGAAAAGCGGAACAAGGTCCAGCGATCGCTCTAGAAAATTACGGGTCACATGGCTAGATTGTTCCGACAACATCCGTGAAGGGAAGCAACCCTCACCCCCTTAAAAATAAGATCTACCGCGGCAGCCGACGAAGCAGATGACTCCACGAATAGAATTCTCCCGGAATAGTTCCTTGGCGGATGTCTCACCGGAGAAGACCAGTTTGTGAAGCCCCTTAATAATGGAACACGAGCTCGGAGTTTTCAAGCGCCTAGACGTTTAGGTGATCGCTTTCGCAACCTAATTCCACATCGATGAGCCCGACGGGGGTCTGAGCGGAGATGCCTCCCTCCTGAGCTCAGCGCCCTCTCCGGCTTAGTTCCTCCGCGACACGGGACGAGCGATCGGATCACGCAGAAGTAATCGATCAGGAATAGATGCATCTGCTGAGAGGTCCCTGGAATGGATCGCCGCCGGTTTCTCGGAAGGAGTCTTCTGGAGAGGAAGAACGCTCCATCGCGTGGGGTCGTTTTTTTCAGTGGATGGCAGAACTTCTTGTTATAGGTATATCCGATGCATCTTCCATCTCGTATTTTTCATCTGGCAGCGACTCCCTTCGAAGTTGCCAGCGTCTCCGAATTTGTCGCTCTCGCAAGGAATTGCAGCGGCCCTCGTCCAGGCAATCTCATCGTGAGCGAGCCGAACAGGAAATTGATTTCAACGAGATGACACTCCGGTTTCTCACTCTCCGAAGGACGCCCGAACAAGCGTCTCCTGGAGCATCAAACAAGCACAGCACACAGTCAAAACAGGAACACAGGCGTGCGAGCTCTGCTACTCTGCTACGATTGCAGCTCACAAGCATCCGTTCCATGCGCGACGGCCACGGATAGAGGTTCCGTAGGGAGCGTGAAACTGATATACGCTTGAAGTATTCTTTGGAGATTGCGAACGCTGAACGCCTGCAAGAGCTCTCGGCTCCCACGGGAGACGCATCCGACGTCTCCTCCAGTATACGACGCTCGAAGACAGTGTCGCAGTGAAGTTTTTCCAAGTCAGCGGGAGACATGATTCCCCTCGATATTCAAAGCTCCCATCCCCGCGAGCGGATGCTCCGCATTATGGAGTTCAAGCAGCACGGAGGTCATCATTCTCAATATGAAGGGATGGAGAACGTATATGATGAGTTTCTCTTCGGCAGCTCCGATATTTCTCTGAGACTTCTGCGAAAAAGTCGAAAGCCTCCGATCTGTCAATCGGCCATGATTCCGCCTCTCCTCGAAGGCCTCTCGGGAATATTCGCGGTCCGCGTCTCCCTTCGTATCCGAGCCCTTCGGAGACGTTTATACTCATATTGTATCTGAGAATGCTCGGAGCCATCTGTCGATGTCATCGAGCTCGGCTTTCGGGAAAACTCCCGCTCTGATCAGATTTATAACGATAATCTAGCGGCTCAAGGCTCCGGATAATTGAAAAAGGGAACGTACGGGTGGGGCATCGATCCATGGGCGTGAGGCGCGGGATCGGATACGCCTGCCCCAATGGTGAACTCCGAGGAATTCTCATAACTTCATCCTCCGAACCGGAACCGAGAGAGGTTACGACTCCGTTGCGTTCGGCTGCTCCTGATTTTCTCCCCCAGCGAGGAACCGATGCGAGAAGCATCACGCGGCCGCTCCGGAGCCACAGCAAATGTCGATCCGAGTTTCCCAAAGTTTACTTTGGTCTCTTAACGAAGCGACGTCGCGTCGTTTGTCTCGATTTCTCTTCCGGACACGGATTCTCTGTGTCGTCGAGTTGAACTCGGATCTCCTCGACTTCCTGTTGGCTCTCGAGCGGTCCGGCTTCGCTTCCGGAATCGCCGCGTGACACTTTCCCGCTTTCCACTTATCACCTCTGCGATCTACTGCACTCGACGACTGCCGTTTCTCCTGCTTGAAGTCCAAGTCCGAAAGGGGAATCGGCGTGAACTATCGGAGCGTCTTATCCAAACGAACGGTCAGAGCCCAAAAGCGATCCGGGCTTACAATCTCGAGTTCGAGTCCCGATCGGGGAGGCTTCGATCTTTCCGCGGGATGACTCCGGCTCTCTCGATCTATGCTATTCAAGAGTGTATCTGGCATTGGAACAGAGTTTGGAGAGGCCAATCGCTCCTCAGATTCCATTCGTTTCTTCCCTTTCCTCGGAGGAGTTCGAGAAAATTGCGGTTTTCGCTCCGGGAAAAAACGAGATCGCACATACCAATCAAGTGACTTACCCTCTGTGTGGCTGGCGGTCCGATGGCCACCAACGCTGCCACCACCCCTACCGACGCCTCTTCCTGCCAATCAAGACGGAATCGGTTTTCCGTTCAGCGTCATCTGCTCCCAAACCCATGAGCCGTCAAAGCACCGGAACCTTTTTGAATATCGGATCGGATGGCGAGAAAATAAGCGGAAGGAAATCAGAGAGCGACTCGAGTGGGTGGATGGAACAATGCTCGAGGAGAAATTAGCGAATCGAAGTCGAGATCAAGGAAGTTTTCCAAAATGCAGCTCCAGGGAATCGCGAAGCGGCGACGTATTACTCCTCTCGTCCATTCGCGAGATAAGTCCTGGAACGAGATCGAATTGTTCCCTCCGGGCGGTAGCGGGCCTCTCCGACTCCGACCGGAGGAGCGGATCGCTGACCGAGAAGACGACGGAAACGCGAGCAAACACACGGAATCATCCCTCGGCTGAACAACGGAATGCGGCGTCGTCCCTTGACCTACCGGCGGTTTAAGGACTCTCGCGGGGCTCTTTTCAGCGCATGATTACGGTACAGCGGAGACAAAGCCGCCACGCCACCACCGTCCCGTGTCGTTGGACGGACAAAAGGATTCAAGCAAACAAGAGAGGCAAAGGGTAACAGGCACCAAGACCAGGGGCTTTCTGCACCAGGACCAGGACTTAATATGATCCCTGCTCGTGGGCTCAAAGACTTCGTCCCAGATCCTCGTGAGGTTGTCAGCTGTCCGCGGCAGACAGACCTGAGGAGGACGGCGTACTCGATGGCGGATTGTTTTGTTTACGCCATCGGTCACTCGAAGCTCCGAGCTTTTGTTCAAGATGAGTTTCCATCGACACGGGATAAAGAGCTAGTTTTCCTGTAGCTCAAACGCTGCGACCGGGGGTCCTGAAATCTGGCCTCTTGACGAAAAAGAGGTGACGAGAACTTTCTCATATGGCGCAGGAGACTTGTCCGAAGTTTTAGGAGTCGGAGAGTCTCGTCTGGGCGACGCAGCACTTTTCCCTCCGGAAAAAAAGTCCTCGTTCAGACTGAGAGTTTAAAGCGGTCTAATTGGTTTTTGTCGTCAATCGCAGCGACGGCACGCCGGGACATGGGGTGTAAGATGTCGCGGACGGAACAGCCTCGACGAGAGTGAAATTCCGAACGAGTTCGTGCCTGCTGCTGGAAAAGATAGAGGAATGCCCGAGGCTGGGTCGCGAGCTAATCTAGACCGGAGGCAATTTCAGCAGCGAGCCGATTTCGCGGGCCACTGACGAAGGTCGAGCGAGGGAGCAGGGGAGCGACCAAGCGACGGACCGACCCAGTCGCCCACTTCGGAGTGAGTGGCGGAGCGACAGAGTCACGAAGACAATCTCCGCTCTCCAATTGGACGGATGTTTTTCTTGTTCTGTTGGCGGGCGATAAAGAACCGAGGATGGAAATCGACAGAAAACCAAGCCGAGAGCGTCTCGTTCACGGGAATCGTCCCCGTCGGAACGGCCTGTCCCGACTAGGCCGGAAAAATGATTTGTCCCGCTCAGTGTCGCGCATTCCTCGAGCGGAGAGCGCGACCGAGAGCCTTGCGGGACGCATTCGCTGCTCCATGACACCATGACATCCTCGGTGGCCAAAAAAACCGAGCCGTGCAAAAAATTGTTTTCTGGGAGCCCACCGCTCCGCCGGGGGTCGACGAGTTCGCGATGTGTGGTGCCCGAAAAAGTCGGAAGATTACTCGAAAGCGCTTCTTAGTTTCAGGGCGATGAATGGCGGTGCAGACGTCTGTGCGCGTTTTTGCGATTGCGCTATCAACGAACGCTCATCTTGGTTCTCAGATCCCAGATTTGTAAGTGGCCGTCTCATCTGGCGGGCCTCGACCAACTCCACGCAGTCGAGAGGTTCCGGTCCGCCATGCCGTCGACGGAGAGAGAGGAGGAGAACGTTTTTAGTCTGTTCTTATATTTATGTTTGTCATGATGTTTTCAAATTTTTCCATTCCTGTGGCCCTTCTCTATCGTGTCACCGATCGCCGTGTACCCTGACGGCTTCCCGCAAACGAGCACTTACACGAGAGGCTTCTGACTTTTACTATCCGAAACCTGACTGCATACTGACTTCGGCAAAAAGCGACTAAGTCCATGCGAGCATTAGCTTGCTTTCTTCGCCCGAGATGTTGATGGCTCGAATCAAGGGATCAGATTGAGCAAGAGATAGGGTAATGAATGATTTGCTCTCTTCCATGGAAGCTCTTCTCGTTTATTCATCCTACTAATTAATGGGTCCACCCAATACATGAGTTCTCGTAGATTTCCTCGGCTCATAGGAACTTCCCAAATTATGATGTCCGGAAAAACGCGTGGATTCTCGTCCCTGGAGAGATGTTGGGGTGTGACCTATGGAGCCGTTAGCTCAGCGAATTAAGAATGGAACACCCTTGATGAAATGCAGAACCTTTTCATTGTCTCCCGATTGCGTTCTCTTACGTCGTGAAGTAAAGCTTAAATGAGTAGAACTCGGCCTTCGATCCATTAGATCTCACAATCTCTTTTCCCTTACAAAGCTCCGATATATCGAGCGAGGGAAAAGCGCCAACGTCCTCCAATTCGACTCCTCTCGGATCGAATTTTCTGCTTATCCCAATCAGCTCAATCAGGAGCTTCGGCGGAGTTTCTATCGAGAATTTCCGTACGTTTGCGGATCGAATTGTCAGGAAAAGGGCGTTTTGCTCGAGAGTGAGTCCAACCTACATATTCTCTAGATTTCTAGATCGGGTCAAACCATCACCGGCTGATGGGTACTCTGGCCTCCTGGACTGCTGCCCCCAGAACTACTTCCAGGATCAGGGTTCCCCCCACCACTACGAGTGACTCCGCAGGTAGAGGTGGACTCCTTGTCCTTTTTCCTAGCCTGATACGCAGCAACCTGACGGAAGAAATTCTGATGTTAGTCATTCGATTATTATCATTATCATTCGTCCACGCAGAGACTCCTGGAGAGGGAGTCTACTGATATTGGCCGACGCCGGCGACGAGTCACACGAGTCGGTCGCACGGACTCGGTCTGAGGAACAATCGAATATGTGCTATTTTGCGAGCTCGACGATTCCGGAAGATTCATAGTGTCTCCCTCTGCAGCTAGGACCTCGTCGTGCATCAAGGTCGCAGAGTCATCCGTAACGGGCGATTTCCCCGTACTCGGTAACGGACACGACTAGGACCTCAATCCGTATCTCTCGGTTTGGTCGAAGCCGACACTATTTCTCCGAGACCCTGTTTCCAACAGCACTGAGCAGTCACGGACATGACATGTCGGAAATTCCGGGAGCCTGAGTAGCTTGGATCGACGGAGTTTCGAGCCTTGAGGTGCTTCCACGTAGCGCGAACTGTTCAGGTCAGATTTTCGGCCAACCCTCTGAGATCATTTACATTTTCGATGGAGCATTCGGATCCCATTGCGACTATCGCGCACGACATCGCGTCGTAGACCAGACGTTGGAAGCCCTGAAGTCAATCGACCTGAACACGGATCGGTATCGATCGTCGAGACCGCAGATGACTTCCGGATATACACGCAGGGATCGACGACACAAGAGCTGGTGCCCAGTCGGCCTCTACGAGGGCGCATGCATCGTCGGAGAGGTCCTGCGTAACATCACAGCTATATATATCTGCTCCCCCGATCGTACATAGACGAACGGGCAGATTCCCAGACACCAGGCGCTCACCTCTCTGAGGCATTCGTCCACTTGTTTCTGTAGGAGACGTCGCAGCTGAAGCAATTCGACTCCTCTTGTGATCAGCGGTTGTTGAGACCTCATGCGAGGATTCCATCTGGGAAGGCACGAAAATGGATAGAATAGGCGCTATAGAGATAGGGCTGAGCATTGGTACTCTCCCGCTCGAAGGCATCGGACATTATCCACAATGCTGGCCACTTACCGACAGTAGTAAGTTTTCCACAGTCGGATCCTCCTGAGAGATGCGACGGGGAAGAGCACACTTTGTTGGGGATAACGAGTGTACATGGGGTTCACAAACTGGTCTATGTTGGAGTTGATCATTGACCACAAAGACTGCGTTTTTTCCTTGAGATTCTGCGAGAGACGAATTCTCATTGTTATCCAATGCCGGAGTCTCGAGGACCTCCTCGGAGGCAGGTCGGGGGTGCAGGCTCAACTCACCTTTTCCCCTCGAATTTTCTCGCTATTGTACAGAAAAGTCCCGAACAAACAGCTGTACAGGTGGTCCAGTATGGTGACCAGGAAATTCTCGTTGAATTCAAATGCGTTTTGGAACTGCTTCATGACCTAGAATGATACCGCGGTTCTTCGATGTAGGAGAGCTGTCGTAATCGAGCAGACGATTACCTCCGGAAACTTAAGTATGTTTCCTACCTGCCAAGTGCAATCAACGAATTGCACGAATACTGGACTTCGATCCGAGTCCGAGTAATGATCGACACCGTGACCGTAACGCGTTCCGAACATGTGACCGAAAGAACACCATTCTTTCTCGATAAGCACCTGATATCCTGTGGTCGGAGGATAAATAAAGAATTACAGATCGGAGCCGAGAGAATGAGAAGTCATCGTGGGAATTCTTCGAGAATATCCCTGTCTTCCCTGAGCGATACATTGAAGATCTCGACTGCATTGAGCTCGAGATGTGCCCTCACTCGCCCTTACGGAGAGCAGAATACGCTGATTCAACGGACATGTTCGAATACGCACCTTTAACAGTTCTGTAATAGGGATCGAGGAGCAGCATTGCGAGCGATGTCAATTGAGACGTTCGATCCCAGCCGTCACTACAGTGCACCAGAACCGAAGACCGGCTCCCCTCGACCTAAGCGAGAATGTTCGATGAGCCAGGACCGAATTCACCGAATCCTTGGAAGCCCGACATGTCTTATGATGTGATCAACCCTAGTTGTTTCCTCGTGCTCACCTTGTATGCTATTTTCACGGCGCCGGCAAGCACACACCCTATGTGATCTAACCAATGGGTGCTCTCGACATTCGACAACCAGTGATTGTCTTCGATGTTCGGAAAGCAGGCTTCCGAGAGCTTCCGTAGAGACTCTCGCATCACGTGAATATTGTGAATATCTGTAGAGAGGGAAAGAAATTCGCCGGGTACTAGACATGAGTTACAACTCACAATGAAAGACACAGATAATCAGGCTCGTTCCTGACGAGCCCAAGAATAGGTACGGGATACGAACCTAAAAAGGTGATCTCGGCGTTCTTCTTGTAGACATCTTCGCTTTCATAACCTCCACCCATAGCCTTGTTCGCAACAGCATTGACAAGCGGTCTCGCATCCATAATGTACAGCTTGGACGAATGCGTGTTCGCCTCCATGATATAACTGAGGTATTTTTCGTCTTCCGTACACCGCTTGCCGACCATCCCAACCAGAGGCTGAGCACAGCGTGTGATGGTCGCATGAGTTTCGGGATGGATCCAGGAAAGCACCGGAAGTCGACCCCTGGACCGGAAACCCGCGACAACTTCCAACATGGGATCATCTGCTAAAGCGGGAACCCCGAAAATCTCAGGGTACGTGTCGCAGAGCTTGTAGCTGAAAGAGGGACACCCTCAATGCCTGAATGATTGATTCCGTTTTCGTCCGAGTTCACGTACAAGGGTACAAGGTATATTTAACTACTCAACGAATAACCTAGAGATCTTACCCGGAGTTCTTATTGCAAATCCTCCAGCTCTCTGTCGGCAATCCCTGACGTTTGAGTTCGGCTTCTGCGTCGTATACCGACCAACCATTCTCTGGGAACTTCTCCGAGTAGTCAAACGCGAAGAATTCCAAGTTATTCGTCAAGGGGAAAGCGTACTGTGTCATCTTCGTGAAGATGTCGCGACGAGAGTGTCCCTCCTGAGGGATTCAATGAGAAAAATTTCAAATTATTTCGATACAAACTTCCTTCTGCAGAGAATCCGGATCGCATCTGGTACTTATATCATCGTCCACCGAGCTCTGGCAAAACGTCAATCAAACCTGTTTGTGTGCGAATTTAAGTGACCGCATGTCTTTGCATACGACCTCGATCCCATACGCATTTTCCTGCTTCGAGGAGTGATATCCGATCTGGAGATCATGGGAAAGTCAGGTCACGGCTTCCCTTTGTCATACTATGAAAGTAGAGAGATCCCTATATCGGCCTGAACATTTTGAATCGAAGTTGAATTACCTTCTCTATCCGTGAAATCACTCCTAGAGGTACGTCCAAAACGTAGATGGGATCCACGCTCTTGAAATACAGTTTGTAGTTCGTGACGTAGAGCGTGCCTCGAATCGGGTCGTGGAAAGGGCAGAGATAGGACACGTCCTGAGCTGTGGGTTGGGGTAAGCGTCGTTCATAGATCAGCCGAGTTCTTGAGCTCGATGAGACGTCGCAAGCGTTTTCGAGGCATTATTATGCTGTCCAGGTTTCATGAGACAACATACCATTTTTCAGGGGCGGCTTCTCGCCGGGGAGAAGCGGGATATCCTCGAAATTCAGGGATTTCTGCGGAAAGAGAGAGGACGTCTGTTAGAACATCTGAATCTAAGGAGACGAGAAGCGTGGCGAAACACTCGCGTCCATGGCGTCGTGGTTCGAACAATGATTTGCACGACTCACTCGAGCATTGCTGTCCATGGTGTTCGCGTTGCTGGATCCTTGATCGGAGGCACTACCCGAGACGAGGCTCGACGTTGGCGTCACGCTCCCACCTATGGAGAAATATAATTGTCCGTCAATTCCTCTTTCTCCTTTGACGTCCATGAGCCTTCCCACCGCTAAGGCAAGAGCTTGACGTCTGTCGAGGTTTAGCACTAGCATTGTTTTTTTTCGGGAGCGACCGACGCATTCTCCGGGAAACTCGACGTTTCGTTGAAACGGTCTCTACGACGCCGACGCTACTTTCTGGCATAACATTCGAGACTTCGTCGCCGGTTCGCCTCCCTTTACCGTGGTCGGTCGAGCTCGCAGCAGCTGACGCATTCAGGTTAAAAGTCTCTCGTGAAGAGGACGAAAGTTCCAGCAGCGTGTCCAAAGACTTCGTCACTTCGTACAACATGGAAGATTTATCCAAGCCTATAGAGAGAAGAGAGAACGATTTCGTTACTCGCCATCGACGCCGCGGCACTCGAAGCTCCTCGAGGAGCTTCCCCTGCAGTGGAGATGAGGCGCTCGCAACCAGGGTCTCGCGTGCAGGGTCAGGAACCAGCGGGTGCTCTTTGCTCGATGTCGATCCTTATCCATGCATTCCGCAACTCCCACTCAATCAGTTGAACGTGCTTGGATTTTGCGGGGATGAGGTAACTCAAACCCAAAGGGTTGCAAAATTAAACAGGATCGGCCTCTTTGTGGGCAACGTATGTGCGCCGCGAAGAGCGACGACCGAAAATATCCCGAACCGGATGTCAGTGGGCCCTACGATGCGGCGGCAAGCTTGCTGAGCACTGTGTCGTACGAAATCAATCTCTCATCGGAGGTTCCCCGAATACCCGTCTAAGTCGAAACACTCAAGTCAGCTGCAATGCAGTCTCCAGTCACCGAACCTCCACCAAAAATTATTCGCGGATAGAAGCACACTGGACAGAGCTGGAGAGGTTCCTCCAGTTGCTGTCAAAGCGACGGAGGAGGCATTTTAGTCTTGAACTAGAGCCCAAAGGATCCCCTGCTGGATTATACCGGTATAACTTAAGCCATGATTAACATAAATCCCTATACCAAGCGGGAGGAAGCTGGCGAGCAATCCTTGAAATCTCACCGGAATCCTGCGAATCCCTTTCATCACCCATTTTCCGGCGCTGCGTCGAACGCTCCTGGGGGGTTTATCAAAGGAGAGTTGAGGCCGAAGCACCGTAGGTATCCGGGAACTCAGAAGGAACAAACACTCATTTAATCACACCATCCACCATTTGACAATTGACTGACAGAAAATACGCCCAACTTGGGTCTCTGCTTGTATTGTTATTGCTGGGGCATCCGCTACCGAGAGAGCTACGGACGGAGGTCGCCCGTTACCAGTTTGAATTTTGGCGCGAACTATCCTGAAGCTGTGCGGAAGCGCTATTCATCATATCTCCTTCGTTCTGGGCCATGTGCGTAGATATCTCCGATTTGACTCATGAGGCAAACTCGATCGGCTTCCGCTTGGCTGCGCTACCTCGCGACAGGGTGGAAGCGACATTCGAACCGATGAATTATTGGGGAGTCTAGATTCAGACCACTACAGCTTCGGAATCTTACTCGAAGCGTAGTGGCAGCTCATTCGGGTTTCGCTCGGACGCGAGAGCTCGGAGCAATCCACGTAGCGGATATCGGCGACTGAATTCCGATCTGCCTGCATTTCTCTGGAAATCAGGTGAAGATTTGGATTCCAGAAAGTTCCGAGTGTGGCTGCATTCACCCGCAACGATTCCAGCCTCTTTGAACTCCGCGCCATTTTGGATGACTGAAAAAAGTCGTTAGATCAAATTTCGTTTAGCCCAATATCGGAATGTGAGAAACAACGAAATCGTGATTCATCTCTTCGTTTCTTACGCGTGTATCCGCGGCGTCCGGTCAAGCGTAGTCACGAAGAAGTTGCCCCCTCCCCCTTTTCGGTGGACTACGACGAGTACATGAAGGCCCAGCGGCAAGACTCTGTCCCTTAGAAGCACGGTCTCCCGAGTGCTCCGATCGACGCTGCATTCACTTCAGAATTCGAAGAAGCGTTCTAGGTGAGTGATGCATTCTCAGAACGTGCCAGGTCGCGGAGCCTGGATGGTCAAGGATCGTTCGCTATGCAGCTTCCGATCATCCAGATAGAAGGATAATTCTTATATTCATGGATGGTCGGACGGTGAGCCTCCTTCCTATTTTGTACAAACATAGAGTTCGGGAAAGCATTATTATCGATGATCCGAGGTCCACCAATTCTTGGGTTCATGATGGAATGGATCCATACGTCTTTCGATGCATTACATTGACGATTGGTAGGAGTCGAGGATTCTCGCGTTGTCCATCGAGCTAATTATCCACCTGGTCAATCCAACGAGGGCCGATGATTGATCAATGCATGGAGTTCTCCGCTTGAAGACTTGAAAATGCCGACATTTCCCAGCTCTCATGATCTGCTGCTTGAGTATTGAATGCCGCTCTGATTAAGACTTATTCTTGCTCCTCAGTGATCTGGCGGCTCGAGTCTCGAGGCGTAATGGCTCTGCACGAGTTTCTCTTGTATCCCGAACCTCCCACGGAGGACCCAGAGTTCGAGTCGCACCCGATGTCGTATCCACGGATTAGACTGCCAGAAGAAGCCGCGTCATACCGAATCGGATATATTCCAATGCAGAGCTCCAGTCCGACGGGTGATGCAAGTATCGCGTACGACAATGGTCCACCTAAGCTTCATATCATCAGCGTTTTGGACAAAGAATTCTACGTGACCCGCGTCCGAGGTACCCCGCGTTTTGATCCCGTCGCCACGAGAACGCGAGACTCGAGAGGAAGAAAGATCGAGACGGTTCCGGAACGTCAGGAAGGATCAAGTTACCACCACGAGGGCGAAATGGCTCCATTCGCTGATGATGAGATCAGTTCTGACAAAGAGGTTGTTTTCGACAGAAGCCAGGAAAACGAAGGACTGGTCTACGTGAAATCTCCTCCCCGGAAGCTTCCTGCCCCGCGAATTCTCTCTCGATTCAATCCTAGACACTGGGCCGAGAGACCAGCTCTGAAATCTCCGCCTCCGTCCATGAGCGCCGAAAGCGATACATCTCCGGGAGATGACGTCGCTCCTAATTTCGGTTCGGACGTGGCACAATCGACTCCGTGCGACCCTTCACTGACTTTTCGATAATTGCAATGAATTATCCCGACCTCGCAATAAACTTCTCGGTATCAACGTCTGTTTTTGAACCGCTCGTCGTTTTCATTCGAACATTTCGTATGGAAATGTAGAGCCTGTCCATCCATCGGAGAGAAACGAAATTGATCGCTCATCGGGTCGAATTTCGAAATTCGAGGCAGGGAACCGCCAGGATTGACTCGCAGTCATGTCGGAGACTCGATGACAAAGAAGCTGTGGTTCAGGAAGAATGACGAAGGGAGGCGAAGCAGCGGGACACGTCCATATACATACCACGGGAGCTTGATTGAATTTTTATTTGTTGCATTTTTATTTGTCGTTCCGGTCTGCTGCTTATGATGATTTTTACGACGTCCGGGATGATGCACCCAGAATCTTGGTGCTCGGGACTCGATCCCCGTTGCTGGAGGACAGGCCGGGATAGATAGATGTACGACAGATAGAACGATTGAATGAACGGTAAAAATGAATGTCTGTCTTACTCAGCAAACTGTGCGAGCTTCGCTGGTGATTGCCGTCGTGGTGCCTGTGTTGGGGCAACCGCCGCCTGTTCTCGCCCGCGTGTGTTCCATATAGACGTTCGCGACCCTTTCGGGCCTGTCTTGATCCCCGTTGAGTTTTTGCTGAGCGAGGGGGGGACGGAGAGGCGGAAACTTTCTACTGACTCTAAGAGATAGTGAACGGAGCTTGTCCTCCCGTCTTTTCCTTGCGATCTCTCTTTCTCTCGCTCTAGTTAGGGAGGAGGAAAAACTCCAGCAGCGACGAGCAACGAAACCCCGAACCCAGAGGAACCCTAAGAGGCTTACAGCTCACTCTGCTTGCTCGCCAGCCCTTTTCTAGCCCGCTCGAGCTATCTCCCTGCCGAAAGAAGACGGCTTCGGAGCTGCTTCGAAACAACGCTTCTTAGTTTCCCTCGATTTGCAGGAAGTTTTTGTTCCTGTTGTGCTGCTGCTTCTTTCTCCATTGCTAATATTGCGATCAATGGCTTTCGGTCTGTCCTCGGGTTCACCGTCATCGGGTTGAGTATTCGATTTCAGCACCGGAAGGCTGCCGACTTCTACGAGAGTGAATCCTTGGTTTCCAGGAGAGCTGCAAACGGAGGCCATCGATGGGATGCTCGATGGACGTTCCGTACGAAGTGTCCTGGGGTGAATTTTTTTCCTGACGCCGCGCCCTCGGCGAGGTTAGGCGCACCTCCAGTTCCTGTTAGAGATATTTCGGGCAGAAATCCCTGACGTGCGTCTTCCGTCGCGAGACTCTGATGGTATTCGATCGTGACGCGGCTCCCGATATTCGAATCGCCTCAGACGACGCTATCCTCAAGAAATCGTGCCATCTGGTTCGATGTCCAGATTGACCTCATCCCACCATTCAGAACGATGCATACTGTTCTGGTTGGAGACGAGTCTGAGCTCCAGGGGCGATACAGCAATGATCTCGCAGCGCGTTATCACCCTCCTCGACTCACCAGATTCCGATTCGCATACAGATGTTTGGCAAATCCACCAGGTTGAATTTCTCTACAAATCCGTGTCCACAAGTTTGAGAGGATTGATCGGAGCATGATATCGTTCTTGTGCCGGATATCGATATGAATATGATGAGGTCCTGCTCCCCTCCCCTCCTCTCTCCACCCGCAGCCCACGTAGAACGGCAGAAGGCGAAGAACGTTGGAGATGCGGCCGCGTGCGACCCGATTATATTCTAGGGTTCTCGCACACTGGTGGAGTGACGTTTTTGTCCGTTTGCCGTGTCGCGCATCCGTCCGTTTGCGCCAGCGATTGTCGCTCTGTTTGTCCGCTCGGCATCGTTGTCATTTCGGGCGGCGGTGGCAACCGCAGCAGCCGCTAACGAAGCAATCAATACCACCACCGAGAAAGCGAAAGAAACCACATCGCCATCCTGTCTGCCTCCCTTCCACATACATACATGCGGTCGGACAAACGGACAGTTTGCTGGTCCTGCTCGCACGGGGCCCAAGCTAACCAACCGAGTCGGCGAGAGATAGCGAGTGGGAGCCGCCGGCACATCTGACAACGAGTGTTCCCTCATTGTGATCAGATCATTACGATGCCATCGCTGCATCTTCAGCCTGTTAAGCTCGCTCAGCGCTTCCTTGCCAGCGGTTATTTGCCGCCGCCGCCGCCACCGAGCCGTCGCACTCAACCTACCTAGCTAGGTCGCTCTGGGGCACGAACACCGACGACAAGCGGACGTTGGTTTCTTCCGCGGATTTTCTTTTTTATCAGAGAAAGCCGATGGAACTTTCCCCAGTCAAATTTCCGGCGCCGCTCCGTTCCACTCCAATGCTTCCTTCTTGTCCCTAAGCTCGGCTCTTGAAACCGATGACAGGCGACCGACTCGAAGGCCGTAGTTGAGGAGGAAAAGGATCGGAACAAGATGATGACAGCAGCCGAAGTCTCCCATAGAATGTCTGTTCCTGGCTTCGCTCGAAGGCTAATTGCGACCCCGAGGATCAGGGCTTGTCAACCGTCTAATTGTGGATGCTTTGATGCTGCTGTTGTTGACGACGACAGCTTTGCCACCTGCAGCCGACCCTCTGCGACCACCTGAGCCAAGAACGACAGAGGGAGAGCCGTCGCACAGTGGGGCCAAACCCGATTTTAGGCGGCAGAAACTCAAATTCTCGAATCGGGGAAAAAATTGTCGCATCGTGTAATAGGATAGCTGGGGACTCCAAAAAGACATGCCTCGCCGCTAGCGGAAATCTCAGTTGGTAAAACGAGACCGTCTTTTTGGAGAGAATTTTTCGCTCGGGCCGTCTGATTTTCTCATTGCATCGTTGTTTTCGCATCGCGACAAAACGGATCGATCCAAAATGGATTCAAACGTCGAATGTGAGTCTAAACACGCTATAAACTAGTCGATGATGATCTTTTCCGATGCCGGAACCGATTTCCGAGGTCTCTCCTCGATTTTTTTTTGTCCCGAAAAACACTCCTTCCCGCCAAGATTCTTCATCGAAAAAAAGTGTTTCCGAGGGCTTCCCACGGGGCGCCAATGGTCAAGAAATCTTCTCCGACTCTTGGTCTTTCCATTCCTGCAATAAAAAGCTCGGCAAGTTCCGGCCATTTATGGATGCGGGCATCTTACAGATCTCCA